ATTTTTAATTGTTTATAAAGTACAGAATATGTGGAGTTTGTAAATTGATGTTGCTTTTGTGAAGCTTCTCAACCAAGCAAAAAATGTCATATAGTATGTATTGATGTAACAACCTACACTAATAAATATAATTAATATTGACCATAAATAACAATTGACTAATACAATATATATATAAAACCTGTACAACTTACGAGGTACACTCTACACTACTTCATTTTTCTACTGATATGCACAAGAAATTATTGTTATTGTTTCATGATAAATTGACATTGATAATTGACAACATTAAGTACATCATTAAAAACTGATGAATTTGTTGTCATGAAAATCTACAAGCATAAATTAAACCAAAATATGGTCTTTTCATGGGGCATTCAGCTACTAGATTAGATACATAGTCTAGTTTATGAGCATGACTTTTTAATCAGTATAAATCTGATTAAGAAATACAATACTGCTAACACAATTCAGAAGAATACTGTTATCCTTACAAACTAACAGACTTGGTAGAATGGCCGCAACTCCGCAACTAGCTGAAAAAATTTTCACGTTGCTGATATAATGGCAGGGGGTGCTCTGGAGATTCATCATCACTTGTACTTTTGTCTTCATCTTCAGCAGGGCCTTGTGAGAGTGCTTTTTCTGTACAGAGAATAAGAAAAGAAAAAGTTAGCCCGAAGTTTTAATACTTGAAAACTGAAAATCACTTGACAAAATTAAAATAAAAACATAAAAACTAGGGTAGATGTGCTGGATGAAATCTGTTCATTAAAACCGTCCAGGGTAGCTAAAGATATTAATAATAACTAACCTTGATGCAGCTGTGAGCTTGGCAGAACACACAGGCACAGCTACATGCAGTCTTGGCTCGAAGGATGTGAACCTAAACAAGCACATTAAGCGAGACTACAGCATACAACATAAAAAAGATAACAAAACAAATCATGCTGATTTGGACTTGAAAATCTACTCAATCCACAAAAACAAACACTAACACAAGGTATTTGAGGGTCGATTTTGATTGATGTAGCAGACTTGAACATGCATCACCCATAGTTAGCAGATGTAAGCTGCGTCTAGACAAGAAGTTTGCTTGGGTCGCTTCTGCGCAGAGGCCGAGTTTTGGTTCTCTGCGCAGACTCAGAGACCCCAGCAAACCCAGCGACCCAAGCAACCCAAGCAACCCTCTTGACTGGACGCAGCTCTAATTTCTATGTTATGACTAAAATTTAGGATGAGGCTACAGAAGTGTTCCAAAATTATTTATCAATGGTTGCTAAGAGGAGGTGGATTTAGTGACCAAAATATTAAACTTTCCAAGTAGCAAAGCCATGTATGGTAAGAAACAAGTAAAACAAATAAAATTACTAAGAAACATCTGAATAGCTCAACCAACCCAGTGCACTGTCAACAGCTGTTAAGTTGCTAAAATCTACAAAAGAGCATCCTGTTTTGTAAATGAAATTCCCAGTTCTAGCTGGCTAGATTCAATACAGGTTCATTTCCAATCTAATGTAGTGAAGTACATATAGCAGCAAAATACCTAACATATTTAGCTTAGTTTGTCAATACTTTTCAGCAACCTTCAATAAAAAGATCTGATCACAGAACTTAAGTTTACGTGATATCTCTCCATCATACCTAAACAGTACATTAGAACTTAAACTTTGTGAAGTGCCAATATAGTTTAAAGTTTAAGAGTTAAAAGTATTTGGTTAGTTTTAAAATCCCTTTCTATACTAATTTCTTGATTTTTAATTCTTTTTTACTTTGATTTGTTTTGATATTTTACTCTTCAGGTTATTGCTGTTCCGCAAGTTTACTCCACAACATACAAATTATAGATATCAAAATAAAGAGCTAAACCAACATGCAACAGAAGAAAAACCCAAAATGAAACCAATAACTAAAGTTATTTCATACCTGCTACAATCTTACTCTTCTCCATGACTTGTTTCGCAAGAAGCTGATTCAATTGTAATAAGTGCTCGTGTTGCTTCTTTTCTTCTTCAGCTTTTTTCTTCAAGGTTGACGTTGGTGGTTCCTCCTCCCCTGAAAACATATATTTTTTTAGATAGATATATAAACCAGTAATCTACTTGATAGCAAATTTCTTAAAAATGTATGCTTAGATAAAAAAGTAAAAACATCTATGGAGAAAACTCTTGAATGTGATGAAACTAACCTGATGTCCTGATGTACTTGGCAAAGTCGTACTTGAGTGTGTTTCAGACAACATTTTTCGAATGGCATCTGCTTTGCGAAGACGTTGCATACGTTCTTCTTGACTCAGGGCTGGCTCATTTTCAGGAACATAACGCTCAGGGATGTGGATTTTACCAGGTGTGCCCAGAATGGAATCAATTGTGTCTGCATCATACTTAGGAGCACGGCGAGAAAGAGTTGAACGAACTACATCAGGAGCAGCGTTATGCCTTGTGCGAAGGGCTCTTTCCATGTCTAAATCATCTCTCGACCTAGTGCCCTGTGACATAAGGTAAAACAAAGCAAAGTCACTAACACATCCAAGGAACACAAAGGGCTAATTAGCACATCTGTGTTAACATCCCCCTCCCCTTCTCCCACCAACTCCTTCCCAACCTCCACTTTCTCTGCTTTCTCTATTCAGAACGTTTTTCTTAATGTTTACATGAGAATAACAGAAGAACACACACCAAGACAGGCAGAGGAGAACTTGACACTTGTGATAGAGGTCTTCCAGACACTGTATGATGTCGTCTCTTTTCCCTGGGCACTAGACGGCGCTGAGCTTGTTGTTGCTGCTGTGCTTGTTTCAGCTGTTTCTGCTGCGCCACTTTCTGCGGAGGCAAGACAGAGGGACTGCAGGCGTTCATTTCCATCACGATTTGGCGAGCTGCCTCGCTCTGGTACGCCTACAGTACCCATGAGACAATGTGAATTAGTTAAGGGTTAGATGGCGAAGGAAAATTTTCTAAAGCACACATACACACAGTAAGTAAATAGTTATAGAAAATGGTATTGCTTTGCTAAGTTTCTTGAAAAAGCAAAGTGGTGTCAGTAGAACTGGACTACATAGCACAGAAATGACACAAATAGTAGCAGAGAAAAAAAGAACTGCTCTAAAGCAAAGTAGCAGTGTAAACAGCTTATCAATTTTGTTTCAGAAACTACATTTCATAAAAGTACATTAAATAAAATGGAGGTGTATGTACAGGTAATTAAGTTGGCAGTGAAATCGGTTTCTTTTACTGCCAAGTCTGAAGTCTACAACACCTTACATACACAAACACAGATTAAAAATTTGTGACACCACTTTCACGGCCAAGAAAAGAAAGTTCAACCCATAGCGGAAAGGGTTACAAGACATTGCCATTCCCTAAAAGTGCAATTTAAACTTTGCTAAAAATAAAGAAAAATTTTGTCCCAAACAGTCCCAAGCGAAAAGCAGTGAGGTTTTAAAGATCATACAGATAAGCATTGTGTAGGCGCATCATTCTTATTCTTGTATATGTGCTAAAGAGGGCAAACACTTCTGCAAGCTACCGGTACTTGAAATGAGTATGCTCATTTGTGTTTCACTAATAGTAATAGGTAAGTAATTATTTTGTCTTCCTGGGCAAAAACAAGAGAGAAAAAAAAAAGTGAGATACAGAATAGATCAAGCTAGCAGACTGTTCTACTTTTGAATCTAGCAAGGCAGGGATCAACCTTTGCAATATGCATATTATACTATTTTTTTTTCTTCTGAAGATCCTACAAGTTGCTCCAAATTCATGTATCACCCTCTCCCAAAATGGACATGAGCTTGACTAACGTCATAGAAAATTGACAACGGACAGTTTGAAGGAAGGTGGCATAAAACTCACCTTCCACGTCTTGAACAGCTACATCCAAGAGGTATTAAAGAGGAACACACAACAAAAAATACTTAAAATATGACAATTTTGTATCTAGGGAACACTATGCTAGATTGGACTACTAGCTAA